CACCTTAGAACGAGAGTCAAGCGATATTCTCGGCAAACCTCGATAGTCCTGAATCGTCTGGATTGAGACCCATGCAGCTAAATACTGTGAACTCCAGCTTGTTCTAATGTTTGGCTTCAACCGTTTCCTTGATATGCGAGTGAGAATGTTTCGTGAAGAGCTTGTAATGCTCGCTCAACAGGCGTATTGTACGGTACAAAGTTCCTCTCTCCCCTTCTTATGATGGACGATTGTTCAGAAATTCTCCACTGGGCGTGGATCTTTGTCTTTGAAGGTAAGACATTAGATGCGCCACAAGTATCTATGTCAGCGATTTCCTCCAACTCGTAAGAGGTCGACCGAAACGTGGTCCGGTCCCCGAGCCGTGGCTGCCTTCATGGTCTGGATTGCGGCGCGTACTTGATAGAATCGTGGTGATATTTCTCCAGTGGGGGAAACGGTTTGACACGCGTGCTGAGCGGAACAGATCGGTATAGAATCTCTTCGTAATCAATTCCATCTTCTGTGGAAAGAAATTTGCGAATCCCGTTTTCCTTCAGTAATGTTGTCAGCGGAATACGGTAGTTAAGAAGGTCCGTGCGGTCTTTAGACTTCTCCTTTCTTGGGCGCTTCTAAAAATTTCAATTTTTGTACTCGTGGACCTTCTTGCAAAGCTGTTCTGCAACTGATATTGGCTATCAGTCGCTCGAGATGTGATGCAGTCAGATTCAGCCGTGCTCTTCTTCACAAGCAGATTTTGTTCAAAAATTCTTGTTTGAGGCACTTTCGCCACAGGCTTTACTCCCCTGAGAAGCAGGTTGTAGTTCTTTATTTGTCCTGTACGATGGGCCAGCTCCTTCAGTCGCCGTATACGACTTTTCTTCTTCCTCCAACACGGGGAGAGATCTTCTTTTCCAGCTCTCGGCTGAATCGCACTTTTGCTCGAAAGAGGGTGATCGATGAGAGCCATTGCTTAAGGATGACATTTCGTTGACATGTCCTTCCGGTCCGTCATCTATGGCGTTCCCTGCTGACATTGGCCTTGATGAGATCCGACGCCGGAGATGCGATCCGTTGTGTAGGGCTTTTTTTTCTTACACATGCTTAAGCAATAAAAATTTTCTCCAATCGTAGCAGCCTTGCCGGAACGTACCAAACTTACTGCACAGACGATCGTTGACCTATGAGCAGCCCTGCCGGGATGTGCCAAGCTTACATCACAGGCAGTCGTTGA